TTTTTCTAAGAAAAGCCCAAGCTAAAGTTAGTATAATAGTTTAGGTGATATCCCAAAGTCTATTAGAGCACTTTTGCTCTTTTCCAAGGAAAAGGAAATGGGACTGTAAAAGAAATTAAAGGAGAGCTAGATAACATCTTTTGAGATAATGTATGACTATATTATGACATTAGTACATTTAATTCATTTATGTTATTTATTAAAATGTTTATGCACATATTTTCCTTCTCAGAAAGCCTTTAGAATAATACATAATTTCAAAATATTCTCATACAAAAAGAATAAAGCCAACAACTTAAAACAGAAGGGGAAAAAGCCAGAAGACAAATTAATCCAGATTTAAAACCCAACCAGAACCCAAAAGAATAAAATAGTTTATGCCCTGCCTAATTAAAAAAATGCTTTTGAATGGATGCAGCTAGAAAGCAAGAGGCTTTTCCACAATTAATAATCCCATTTCTTCTGTTAAGACCTAGACTAACTACTTATAGTGACTGCATTCATAGCATCCTAGGGGCTAAGTCAGGAAGAGCTTGATGTATACTAAAACATGGAGTTTTAACAACAGCAGTTATTTGGATATTCAAAAGGCTTTTGATAATGTCCTTAATGAAAGGCTCTCAAGCTCCTTGCTCATGGATATGAAGAAAGAAAGGGTCCTCTTTGGATTGAAACTGGTTAAATAAAACATAAGAAAATAAGGAATAGCAATATCTACATATTATTAGCAAAGGGAACTCTGTAAATGGGCTATCCAATAAAAGTATTTTTGTTCACAGACATACAGAGGTTAGGAATAAGCAGCTCAAACTAGTGAATGCTACCCATTTATTTAAGGTGATTAAAACAAAAAGGGACGGGGTCTAAAAAGCTCTCTTTAAACAGAGGAAAAGAACATAAACATGGTAAATGCAATACCACCTAAGTAGTGATGCAAACCATCGAGACAGGAATGGCTAAATTCATGTATAAACAACTAAAATGATGGCAACCGAATAGGAATGGAAGGGGTTCTCAGAGTTCAACAGAGCAGTGAACATGATTGCTGTGAAGATGGGAAATTCAGGGCCAGAAATTTAAAGAAAGGAATTTAAAATAAAACAGTTAATACCATAATGTTAAAGCTTTGATCAAAATCTATGACATAACTCATTTGTAATAGTTATTTTTTATTGTTATTTATTTATTTGTCAATTGCTTACAAGATAATAGGTACAAGTAAAAACATAGTTATGAATACATGGATACATATAAGAAAAATAAAAAAATAAAAGAAACAATAGGACAGGGATGGTAGGCATGTTGGTGTGCTTATGCATGCCCCCTACAGACCTCTTAGGAAAGGGGTGAGGTCAATAGTAGACAGTCTAAGGTTAAAGTTTTTGGGGTTTGGGGAAGAAACCACAGAGTCAGGTAGAGTATTCCAGACATTGACCACTCTGTTGCTGAAGTCGTATTTCCTGCAATCAAGTTTGGTGCGATTAACCTTGAGTTTGTATCTATTGTTTGCTCTTGTGTTGTTATGGTTGAAGCTGAAGTATTCATTGACAGGTAGGACATTGCAATGTATGATTTTATATACCATGCTTAAATCAGACCGAAGACGGCGTAATTCAAGGTTTTCTAGTTCTAGAATTTCAAGTCTGGTGGCATAAGGTATTCTACAATGAGTAGAGGAGAACTCTTCTTGTGAAATATTTCTGGACTTTCTCAACTGTGTTAATAATAGATACGTAATGTGGGTTCCAGACTGATGAGCTGTATTGGAGTATTGGTCTAGCAAATGTTTTGTATGCTCTAGTTAGTAGTGTAATATTACCAGAGAAAAAGCTACGTAAGATTAGGTTAACAACTCTTAACGCCTTTTTGGCTATGTAGTTACAGTGGGCTCTAGCACTTAGATCATTAGAGATGAGTACTCCAAGATCCTTGACAGAGTTTGGATCATCAACAAGGTCTTGACTATTCAGCCTGTATTTTATTTTCTGGTTTGTTTGTTTTTTGCCAATATGTAGGACATAGCATTTATTTGTTGATATTTGAAGTTGCCATTTGTTTGACCATTCTGATACATAGTCAAGGTCTTTTTGAAGGGTAGTAGTATTGTCTGTGGTGTTGAATAGCTTTACATCATCAGCGAAGAGAACGCAGTTGCTGTTAATATGATCACAGAGGTCATTTATGTAGAGGATGAAAAGGGTTGGTCCTAGAACACTGCCTTGGGGGACACCACTTTTACATCATTATCACAAAGTACACTAAAATGCACTAAAACATTTTTGTAAAATGGAAAAGATTCAGCAAAGGGCATCAAGAGCAATCAATTTTTGGATGAACTGTCCAAGGTAAGGGCAGTTGTGAGGTAAGGCTAAAAACATTTAAGCCTTTTTGATTTAGGGAAAAAGCAAGCAAGAGGATAAGAAGGCATGAGAGATGTGTAGAAAATTATGGATATGACACATTGATAAGCATTAAAGAACCTGGATAGGAAGAACAATTTCTTCCTCTTCCATAATACCAGAATCCATGATACTCCAGTTAAGAAGACTGATTTGCAGAGGGAAAAGAAACTCAGCATTGTCAAACTACAGAATTCACTATTACAAGACTGACAATGATCATTAATTTGATGGTCTTGAAAGGGAATTACAGTCTTTATTAGAGGAATAAAGAGATTGATGGACTAATACTCGTCCATTGGTCTTCTGAAAATCCAAAGCCATTTTCATTTAGCTAAAGGGAAATTAAAACACTGGGGGATCTGAGATGCTCAAGCTGTATCCTTTTTTTGAAGCATGAATTATTCACAAGTAACGTATACATAACATACAACTTGAGAATAGCTAAATAAACATGATGAGAACATACAAGATAATATATATCTCAACTGGAATATATACTGAGCAAATATTCATGAAAACTTTAAAGACACTATTATAAGATTAGTAAAATGAAGAACTTAGCAATTATAAGAAAATAAAGTATTTGTACGAATTCTTCTTTCCCTGAAGTCATTTTCCTCTCATTTTTAAATTTCTGGTCTATATTCATTTTTCTGACCCAATGAAGTCCTGATTCACTCTTGACATTAGCAAATAATGGCCTGCCTTATTTGTGCTAATGTTAGGTAGCATCTCTGTTCAACTCAGTTCTTGGATCAAATCTTCCTCCTAAATTCTGCAGATTAGGGGCGTATTTTGTCTCTCAACAATGAATGAATGGATGCCAGGGTAGTATTTGGTCAAGCTTCTACTGTTTCTGAGAACAGAATATTGCAAGCATACAATGTGACTTTTTCTACACCAGCTTATTTTTCTATGCCCTTGTCTATCTCTTGGGCACTGTATGTCATTGTACCAGGCTGTTATTCCTGCCTTTGATAATTGACATGGAAAATTGCCATTAAGCTGTAGCCCTGACCTAACAAAGTCCTGGCCAGATGAAATAAACTTGCCACTGTGCCTGGCATTGTCTAGCAACTTACTAAGGATGGTAATGGGGGTGGAGGGTGGGGAAGCCCCTTGCAGGAGGGGCCAAGCTTACTGACCAAGTACACCAACCTTCCTGGCATCCTAACAAAATCCAGTAATCAGAAACAGCAAATGCCCATTACTCCTTAAGGATTAAGTTAATGGCCATTCTTTTCAGCTCTGCTCAGAAGAAGCCAAGCCTCGCTAACATGCTCTGGCTAGCTGGATAGTTCTCAAAACTAGTGATAAGAAGGCTGTTTACAGGAATGACCAAGCTTGCCAATCAATTCTGCCAATCTTTTGGCATCCTAAAAAAAAACCAGTGATCAGAGGTAGTAGAGCTCATAAGAACAAGTCAATGGGCATTCTTCAGTGTAATGCCAAGTCTAGTAACCGACAAAAACAAACAAAAGGAATGTACTTTTTAGAGTTTTGGAAAGCTTAATTTTTAAGTTGAATAAGATATTTTCTGCACTAGTTCAATTACTGCAACTTAAACTGTTTTCTGATCCCTGCCATCTCTTTTTAAAAAAAGACAGAGGTAAATTTCTAAAACATATTATGATAAAACTCTTGAAGGCATTTGGCTAAAAAGTCTACTATTATCCTCTAATCATGTCAAAACCTGAAATAGGGTATTTTTCTGATGATGTCCCAAAGAAATGTGGAGGGTAGTTTGTCCCTCTGGCACAGCTTGTTAAGTATGTGTCTTTACCTTGATGTTTCAGAAGGTGATGGAAACAATCCTCTAAGGGAGTATTTGGGATTGTTGGATGACAGCTATATGTCTATTTATAATTTGAATAATTTTATTATAATTGTTATTTATTTTGTGGGTGTTTCTATCTGTGTGACTCACATGTTGTAAAGATGCTTGGAATTGGGAAAAGTAGGCAACAGATACATTTAAATAAACAAACAACTGAACAAACAGTCAATGACTATTTCCCCCCCAAATTCAAATCTCAAATTGATTCAGATCAAATTGGCTATGCTAGCCACTCCAATGAAATATTCACTGACTCACTCAATTCATTCACTTAAATTGGCTTGTCCCCAGTTTCAATGTGCAAACTTGAATCAAATAATGCCTTCTTAAAATTTTCAGTTTCAAGTGGATCAGTATTGATTCATGTCAAATATGAATGTGTAAGAATATTCACAAACTTGTATTGAAACTGTTGTGGTCCCTAGCCACAACAACTAATCCAAGCTCTAATATGTAAAGCTATATTCAATAAAATCTTGAATATAAACTCTCTGAATTTGTGTGGTGTCTATGTGTTTCCTTTCCTTGCAAATTTTGTAACTATTCTATATTGGTTGAAAATAAACCTTTGAAGCAGATTATAAAGTGCCCAAAGCTTTAAAATAAATTGCTATTATGTCTATTAAATTGCTTTAATGCATTATAAGAACGTTTAGGTATTTTTATCTTTTTATTGTCCTTTTTATGCTATGGAAAAAAAGGCACAAGAGGCCGTTTAGTTAACAAATTGCATTTTTCAAAAAGACAGGCTATATACTTACTTTTGAAGTTTTTCAGTGGTCTCTTGAAAAGCATCTGAAGCTTCCTGAAATTTTAATTCTATGCTTGTTTTCTCTGCTGCCATTTGCTGGAGCTGAGTCACCAGCTCCTCATTTTGAAGAAAGAGCATGGAGACAATATCATCTTTATTTTTCAAAGCTTTTTCATATGTTGTAAGTGTGGAGTTGAACTGATCCTTAAGATTTGCTTCTTGGGATAGAGCTTGATGCAAACTGATGAAACAAAAAACACGTACATCAGTGGTGATCAATACAATGTAATTTTAAATATATCAATCAAAGGGACATAAATATGTGCATACACATTCATTCGTTTATTAAGCATATAAAGTGACATAAGAAAACCTGCTATGTCATTCATAATAGTTTTACAATACATTTAAATTAACATAGAACTGACGCAGCAGTTAATTCTTTAGAGCATTTTGATTATTTTTCTTTCTTTTCTTCTAAGTAGAAGCAAATATTATTCAGGAGTTTCTCTGTATTTGCAGGTTCAAGTTGCTTCTGATTTATACAATAATTCCCATATCTCTTGCTTTTGTCAACACAACAATTCTTTCTCAGGGAGAAACTTCAGTGAAATGAAACTGATTATCTTTAAGATGATAGATAGATAGATAGACAGACAGATAGACATATAGACGATAGATAATTGCAGAAATTTATTTTGGAGGTTCAACCTCACAGGCTATATCTGAATGAAAAAATAAAGGCAACAACATCAGAATGAGCTGGTTCATACCATAATCAGGTTCCTTGTATATGCCTACATTCTAATTTCATATTCTCACTACATACAAAATAATCTTTACTGAGCAGAACAGTGTAGATCTAAATTTAGGGATTTCCGTTTGAAAGAGCAAGATGTGAAACTGATGCTGTATTCTATTATTTCTACCTGTCTTCTACCTATTATTTCTACCTGGCTGTGGCCAACTCAGCTCCAGCTTTTTTCAGGAATAAGAAGCCAACAACCCATGTGCATCATCATCTAGCAGTAGTTGTTGCCAATAACAACCCACTAGGTAGCTTTTAGTAAGCTCCTGGAGAGCATAGTTGTGTAGTAAACCTGGTAATCAATGCCTGGACAGATGACTGGAAGCCAGGAGAGACATCAGGTCAATTTGAAGGAAGATTACTGGGAGGAGCCTGGAGGTTATTTGGCTATTCCATGACTAGGCGCTCAAGCTTTCTAGGTTCCTGAGCCTTTTCCCTTTTGTCCAGGAAATCTGTTCAGCTGCTGGTATCAGATATATGACTGTGACTACACACGAGTGTCTGTCTATGTGCACACTTCAATGTGTGAAAGTTTGAGTTCAGTTTTGATCTTGATTTGTTACTATAAAAAACAAGAAATGTTTAAAACAGCTGCTGAGCATAATAAAATATGTTATATATCTCTATATATGGAGATTCTCAGACATCCAGATCATGGTTGTTGCAGAAGTGCTTTTTCTAGTGGCAACTGGACTTTCTTTATTTTTCCTTGAAGACATTTTGCTTCTCATCCAAGAAGCTTCTTCAGTTCTGAACTTTTCAGGTTGCCTCTTGAAAAAGCACCTTTGGATTTTATATATACTTTATTTCACCCTTCCTAAAATTTTCCCAAGGAAGTCTAGTTGGAGTTATTTCTCAGATTTTCTTTCTTGGAATATTTTTATGAAGTAGGAAACAGTGGTTTACAGATTACTTCCATTTTAATGACTGAACAGGAATCCTGTATTAACAGTACAGAAATTTTATATCTATTTTTGAAATTGTTTTTAAATTAGCCAAAATAAAAGTAAATTTATAAACAAATGTTTTCTTCAAAATTAGTGCTTTATTTTTTACCCTACACTGTTTTGTTAGAAGCTTGGTTTTTTTTTTTTTTTTACAAACATTGGGTATATAGACTGAACATATCTAAATTACTGTGTAAGTGTAAAATGAAATAGAAACTATATTTTTCTACTGAAAAGCAAGAAGAACAAACAAATCCTGCATTAAGTTTATTGGCAATGTCCTTTTGCTTCTGAACAAAAAAAGAAGCACAACCAGATTGCTATTTCCTATAGAAATTAAAACTCACCAGAAATGCATAAGTAAAATACGGCTGATTTAATGGGAATCTAAAAGTTAAAGGTCAAGGAATTGGCATGTCATTACACCTACTACCTGAGGTTGTTTGAAAATGATGTGAAGTATCTATTCAATTAAATAAGGACATTTTTAAATTATAAATAATGTATAAAGAAATAAAAAGTCAGTAGAAGAATAACAGATAAAATATATTAAACATGATTTTACCATAAATGAAAAAGAAGAAGCATTTCAAAGTAGTATCCTGAGCTACAAGCTGAAGAAATCAGTATACTATTTTCAAATATTAAAAAAAAGAAGAATCTGGTTGGATTAGACCAAAGCCTATTTTAGTCTAGCATTCTGTGACTGAATTCTCATAGCATATTTGTTGATAAACCATAACTGATTGGGTGTGCACAACATTTAAGGCATATAATATTTTATCAGTGTAACAACACAACATGTGAATCTAATTTCCAGTCATCCAGATGTCTATGAAGTTTCTTAGTCATCCAGATCATAGTTGTCTCATAGGTGGTTGTTTTTTTTGGAAAAGGCAACTGGACTTTTTTTTTTAGATAGTCATTTTATCTTCCATGAATTTATCAGATCACATCAAAGTGGCATCTCACGGAAGTCTAGAATTTAGTTTTTTATTTTCTAATGCTACATGTGGAGATTTGAATTTACAAAAGGATCCATAGGATCAAGCTATATATCCAACTATAAAAAGGCAAAGGTTTCCCCTGCCAGTTGTGTCCACCTTTAGGGGAGTTGGTGCTCATCTCTGATTCACAGCTGAAAAGCTAATATTGTCCAAAGATGCTTCCGTAGTCATGTGGCCGGCATGTTAAATAGGTAGCTGCATGATGTTCACAACTAGGAAAGCTAAACATGATCATTCACATTTGATACAAAGCGTAAAAAAGTAAAATCTAAACCCTGCAAGAAACATTCTGACAACTTATCGTTTGAGCCCATCCTTTAAAATATATATAAATTAGTAGCTCTACCAATTTACAGTATACGAAGAAGAACCTGGTGAAGGGCCCATTCAGTTAAATGTTATAACAGCAATATCTTAGTAAAGTCTCCAAATCTTGGAGATGTAATGGAACCATCGGCGCCATTTCCATGGCACTATAATTCACTTCAAGCAGTTGAAAGGCCTCTAAAAAGGAGCTCAATTAGTTGCCATTTACCTTCATTATTATCTCTATGGAATAGGCTTACTCTGCTTTAAAATTTATACGACTCATTTTGCAAGCTGATGTTTTGAAAATAAAAAACAGTTTGAAGGAAATCATGATTCACTAGTGAGACAAAGCGGAAATCAATTCCAATTCGATATTGATAGCTTCCATGTGATGTAAAGTGTGGGTTCTTTTTAATTAAATGTAAACATGTTTAGTTCTAAAGTCCAGTAAGGATGACAAGAGCCACTAGAATGGATTGCTTAAGCATCGATCAACTGATTTTCCAAAGTCTTTTGTTTATTCCCTAGGATTCTTGAGCAATCTGTGGCAGGGTTAGTGTCAGTTCCAACTGACTTTAATTTAGGTCATTTTCAGGTAAGAGAAGAGAAAAAAAAGAGCAGTCTTGACAACAATGTTGAGTGCTCAAGTGATACCCAAAGTGATTCATTAACCATGTCCTTCTGATAGCTAATCAATACCAATGCATGGAGCCAAGCACACTGCTCTAAACTGCCCTTCTCCTGAAAGCTAAGTCTTGGTAAATATTTAATGGCAGTAAAGGTGTTTTGGTTGTTATCAAACTGATACCTTAAAGAACTCTTAAAAGAACTTTTATCTTCCTTCTCTTTTCAGAATTTGTTCAGTCATTAAATGGCCCTGATGCAAAATGCTTATTTATTTCAGTTGACTGAATAAAGGATATTCAACTGCCCTCTGTACTATATGTATTAGTGAAAAATCTCTAGATTTTTGTAAAAAAAAAAAAAACCTTCCAAAACCTGAGTTTTGTTTTGAAAACATGAGGGTATGTGATGAGCCAGATTGAAGCTCAGAGTGTAGCATTTAATTGTTTTTAACTGAATTAGGGGATCAGGTGTAGGAAATTTTGTGCCACTAGGAATTTTGGACTATAACTGCAGTCTTCCTCAGATAGCTATCTGAGAAAAAGAGAGATCAGGTTGCCTATCCCTCTACTTGTTCAACAAACAGTCCAATTACATGCTGAAAGCAGGCTGAGTTTACAAAAATAGCCCTCAAAGGCAATAGGAAACCACTTCCATATTCCTGCCAAGAAAATGGCATGAACTGAGTTCAAATCAGAGATTTCTTAGTCCACAAAATTCTTTAACTGAAGTTTTATTTGTTAACTGTCTTTTTCTTCTTATGTATTAAAATGGTTTAATTTATTTCTTCGGTTTAATTTATTTCTTCCTGTACATGGTCATTGGATTGGACCTTTTCATCAAAATAAATAAAACTTTGGAGCCAATCCACTGTGTGCAGTACACACATACCTACTGCTGCTTTTCCTCAAGCAAAGATCTTGAAATAAGGAAGTTAAAGATGTAATTGACAAGGAAGAAACTTTGGAAGCTATATTTTTCATTGGTAACCCAGACATATAGTTAGAATACCCACACTCTTGATCAATCCTTATATTATTTATCAGTCAAATTTATATAGCTGCCCATCTCACAAAAAAGTATTGCCTAGAAATGTGACCCATAGAATATAATTATACTCATGCATCCACCATATTGTAGTTTGGGCAGAATGGAAATGATCTCATTGGCATTCCAGCTCATATTGCTCAATCAGGTGTTATTGCAGGATTTTCAGTTGGATATGGAGTCTACACAAATTTAGGAGTTTTATCACTGAAGAAGGATAATTTCAAAATGCAGCAGAAATATGTGATTGGAAATGAAATGGAAACATCTGGGCCAATTACTATTCTCCCCACTCTCTCCCATTTTATGTGTTGAAGTTACTTTATCTGCAGTTATGCTTATCTTGTAAGAACACTTTGTATTTATGTGGAATCCGACACTTTTTGTTCGAAATAAATATGATGTTAAAGGCTAGTTCTTTGTTTTGCAGAATGCTAGACTTTTTAAAAAAATGTTTAGAACTTTTTTAAAAAATATAATGGATTTGAAGACTGTGTCT